GGACCCTCTGAACCATCAGTATCACTAATACGAGTGAGACCTTCATTCATTCTTCCCTGATAAATCTAATTTGGCCAGTAGCTATGATTTTGGCACTAATTGTTGGTAGGATCTGTTTCCCTAGAAACAGATGGAAGAAGATTCCAGTGAGCCCTCTGAAACATACTGAACTTTTTTTCAAAGAACCACAGAGCCAAACCGCTCAGACGGATCTCCCTTGCTTTCCTAGCAAAAAAATGAGTGCTATCCAGTTCCTCCTCCGTGTTCTTAGATCTGTTGGCTTTGTACTCCCCTTGCTAGGTGATTGGCATGCACTACTTCTCTCCTGTGGACAAGATGCAGCTGCTGGAGATCATCACAACCGAGAAAACGTCTAAGGACACAACCGCTTCGGCGGTAGCCGTTGGGCTCAAGCAGGGGAAGGTCATCATTGTGGTTAAGGTAAGGAGCTGTGTGACAGAGCGGCAGACGGGGGCAAAGTTCTGTTAAGATTCCTTATACCTTCAGGCTTGTTTATAACTATTCTGGGGGCAAATAGGTCACCTTTTGATAGGATTTCCCCTTAGTTGTGTGCAGTGTGGACAGTGGTGTGGACCGTGCTGCTGAGTCAGGGTCTGAGAGGGGCGTGTCTGGGACGGGGCACGTTCTCCCAGCCATTCCAGACTGTGAAACCCTGTGCTGTGCCGTTTGGTTCAAGCCGTGCTGCCTTGGCTCTGGCTTCCCCCGCAATAAAATTTTAACAATTCTGTTTGTGAATATAAATCGCCTTGAATTTTGGAATGACACGTGGGGGAGAGAGCCTGCTTTCAGCCTCACGTCGTACCTACAGCGGAGGGGCCGGTGAGCTCACATTCTCTCCCTCGGCAGGATGGACCTGGCTTCTACACCACCAGGTGTCTTGCACCCATGATGTCTGAAGTCCTTAGGATCCTCCAGGTCGGTACTGCTCTTGGATTGTTGGAGGCATCTTCCACTCCTTAAACCAGTCCTCCGGATTGGTAGTCAAGATAAGGAACAGGCTTCCCTCTAATACACTTAAGTCCAAGTTCTTCTCCAAGAAGGCTCTTTTGTGCCCAATCCTTCCACACCGTGGTGGGAAATCACGGGCTTCGCTGCCCTACAATGGGCAGAACTTTAGCTCTGCTCCCTTACCCCCCTCCCTGCCCCACTAGGACCAGATGCCTCCTGATGTGCCCTTCTGCACACCTTCTGCCTCCCCGCTTTGAGGCAGGAGCTATCCGGAACAGACAGGCCCACTTGGGCTGGTTGGTGCTGGAGCAGCTTCTGCGCACACCCCTCGGGTGCCTCCTCCCCAGACCCAGGCTCGGGGGGCTCCGCCACACTGCTCTGTGAGGCGGTCTCTTCTCTGTTGGGGGAACTTCGCCCCGTCTGCCGTGGAATCTCATTACTACTGAGATTCAGAATTGCAAACAAGGAGGAAGTGAATAATGTGTTCATCTCTAAATGAAGTTGTTCAGTCCTAAACCTGTGGATTAGGGAAGGCTCAGACTTTCCCCCGGTGGCTCCCAAACCTCCTTTGCTTTCCCTGAGTGGGACAGCCCCAGTCCTGGGCCTGGGCTGGTGGCACCCAGGAGAGAAGTGAGTGGTGGACCGGCCCTGTTTCAGAGGGCCAGCTTGGAGAGCCCTTGTGGGAGGGCCTGGGATGCCTTCCTCCCCTAAGATCCCTGCTTACCTCCCGTTCAGGAAGGAGTTGAGCCTAAGAAGCTGGATTCCCTTACCACAAACTTTGGCTTTCCTGTGGGTGCTGCCACACTGGTGGATGAAGTGGGTGTGGATGTAGCAAAACACGTCGCGGAAGATCTGGGCAAAGCCTTTGGGGAGCGGTTTGGAGGTGGAAGCCTAGAACTGCTGAAGCAGATGGTGTCCAGGGGCTTCCTGGGTGAGTAACCTCAGAGAAACATAACCAACCCCACAAAAACAAAGTTTCCTGAGACACACAGTTACAGAAGGCCCATGTGGGAGAGTTCTTCCTAAACATAGAGCCCACTATCATGGGGAATTTTTTTAATGATTTCATGACAACCTGTTAGGCAGAACCCTGGCCTGAGGCTCTGCCATTGCCCAAGGTATGCAAGCCGGGCGTTTTCATCTGGCCCAAGGCCTCTAACACACCTGTGATCTTGCAGGAGCAAACTCGGCACCCAGACTTGACCATGCTGCCTGGCCACCTATGTGGAGAAAGTAAGGCCTCTAAACACAGAGAACATGGTTGAGGCCCACCAGAGGTGGCTTTCTCTCTTGGCAAAGGAGAAGCAGAATCAGCCCCAGGACCAGGGCATAAACTAGGTCCTGGTGTTGCATATCTGGACATTAAAGCTCACCCAGATGGCCTTTCCCATCCACATACACAGATTTTCAAGCCCCAGGAAACACAAGATCATTTTTCCTTCTTTGCCAACTCTGCGGACAAATACACACTAAATTTCTAGGGTTAGCTAGACAGACACATTCAGGAATACAGTTGAGAGGCTGGAGCTTTACAGCAGATTAGCAGAGAAGAGAATTCGCAGGCCCAGTCTCTGAGATTTGGTAATTCTCCCTTTTCTGGCTTCTTTTAGGTCGCAAATCTGGGAAGGGCTTTTATATCTACCAGGAGGGTGTGAAGAATAAGAATGTGAATTCTGACATGGACAGTATTTTGGCAAGTCTGAAGGTGCCCCCAAAGTCTGACGTGTGAGTTAACTTTAGTAGCTAATATTGTGGAAAGCTGTTTCTCTTCAGCCCAGAGCTTCTCAGCCCTCTTCCATCTTCCCTGTGATAATCCCCTTACCTGACCAGAATACTTTTGCCCTTCCACATGCCATCTCGTGTTCTGCCAGGCATCAGGATAAGGACTGTAGCTGAGCCTTGGAAAGACCCCTGCTCCAGCCTTCCCTCTGAAGGTCTGGAGAGCACCTAGAGAAACTGTCACCCTAGGCCCCTTCACCCCCACCCCCGGGCCCTCTTTATCGTTTGTAACTGACAGCTGATGGTGGCAAGAGATTCCGTCTAGTCTGCCCAGCCCTGCAGAGTGGGTGCCGGTCTCTGGTTGGTTAGGGCAGGAAGCTCTGAGCCATCTTTCGAGGAGCAAGGCTGGCCTCCCGGTGGCCCCTTCTCTACACCACTGCGAGTTCTGTGCGGGCTGGCCCTTGGAACACCAGCAGCACCAGCCTTCATCCATCCCCGCACCTGCCTCCCGCCCCGTGACACTTCAGCTGCCCGAATGTGTCTCCCTGTTGGCAGCTCCTCTGACGAAGACATCCAGTACCGCCTGCTGACCAGATTCGTGAATGAGGCCGTCCTGTGCCTGCAGGAAGGGATCTTGGCCACACCCGCAGAGGGAGACATCGGAGCCGTCTTCGGGCTCGGCTTTCCGCCATGTCTTGGAGGTTGGTCTTGCAAGTTGGGAAGGTAGCTTGTTTTATCCCAGAGCTCATTTTGTCGTCTCCTGTTCTTCCTTCCAGGGCCCTTCCGCTTCGTGGATCTGCACGGTGCTCAGAAGATAGTGGACCGGCTCAGGAAGTACGAGGCCGCCTACGGAAAACAGTTCACCCCGTGCCAACTGCTCATCGACCACGCTAACAGCCCTGACAGGAAGTTCTGCCAGTGAGCGGGCCCCCGCCCAGCCAGCGGCGCTGGTTCTCCGGCAGAGTGGCATCTAGACGCATCAGAGGAACCAGAAGGCAAACAAACTCTGGCACTGGGTGTGTGCCCTGACCAAAGTGCCTTCAGTTAGGACAGTCTCTCCCTCCCGGTAAAGTGTGGCTGTGAATGAGTTTGCACCTCACGTTAGGAGGAACCCGTAAGTCCCGACACCCCGAGTGCCAGCGTCTCCAGAGCCGACTTGCTGCCTGCTCCGCCGGGGCCGGTGGTGGCCGGTGGCAGCCCGGGCAGTTCTGCACCCAGCCTCCTGTGTGATAACAATAAAAACCAAACTCTAACAGCCTCTGCCTGCCTGCTCCTTTTTCTTCTGTCTTTGCCCTCCTGCTTTAAACCCCTCCCTTCAAGGAGCCAGAATGAAGCCTTGGGCTTTGGGGCTGTGAATGTGTTGGGAGAGTTCTAGGCAGCACCTTGAGAGAGAGACTGTGATGATGATAAAGGGGGACTTGGTGCACTAAAGCCTTCGAAATCTGGCCATGTTGACACGCTCTGGCAGGCCTCTGCTTGCCGTGGGGGAGAGGCCTGGCTGGCCAGAGCAGGTGACGTGCCATACGCTTGGAGGCCAGGTTTTAAGAGACTTCTTTCACCAGACTAATGTCTTGTAGCACAATGGCACCCAGTTCTTTTCATGGTGGGACTCACGTGTTCTCAGGATGTTAACATTGGAGTGAAGCAGAGGAGAGAATATTTTCCTGGTCAATAGATCTGCTCGTCTTGGCTGCCCCAGAGCATGGAAGGATGAATGGATCATCAGAGACCCCGCAGTGAGCCGTTCAAGGAATGCCGAGCCAACCCACCAGCGCCACAGCGCTCAAGAGCCTCCTGTCCGCCCTCCCAGTGCCCTCGGGGCTGGAGAGTCCCTCCGCTCCTGTCCGGGTAGCAGCAACTCCCACTATGTGTGAACAGCCTTGGGGCTCCTGCCCAGTCCGGCAGAGGGGCCCACACTGCACGTGTGCAGAACCGTAAGTCCCGGCATGCCGTGCCCTGACCCACGGCTGCTGCCTCTGCTGCGGCTGCCGGCCCCTCACAGACCCCTGGTGCCAGCTCTGTGGGGCCCCGCGGGCAGAGCGCGTCGCGCTGGCTCCCTGGACTACTCACGGTTGCTGCAAGGCCAGACCCTAAAACCAAGGCATCTGTGCATTGGGATTTTCAGATAACCAGTACAAAGTAGAGAACAGATCTCACCAGAGCCAGGAACGGGCTTCTAAATGGGGGCTCTGGGAGGGCCTCAGGCGGGCATTTGGTCAGTGCAGGAACTTAAACGTGGGCCCTGGCTGGTGATATGGAGCTTTCCACTCAGCAGCACTAGAAGGTAGGAATTAGGGTGAAACGGTGGTGGGAGCTGGAAGGTTCTTGTAGGGTAGGGACTGAGAAGGGGCTTTCAGAAGGGAACCCAGGAGTGGGCCACAGGCACACCCCATTCCAAAGTCCTCCCCTGCCCGGAGGCCTACACCTTGTACCTGTCGGGGCCCCGGCGCCCTCCAGAGGAAGAGAGCGTCGATGCCCAGAGTCGCACCCCCACTACTGTTGAGTGCTCTAGCATTTATTTCACGAGTCCTTGAGGATTCACAGAGTGATCGGCAAGGAAGCCCAATGCTTTAGCATCACAGTGTGTGTGCTCGACTTCTGACTCCCCCTCCCTGGAGCCGGAGGCGTCTGCTCGGGGCTCGAGCACCAGCATGGCTTCACTACGCTTAAGAGAAAAACGGAGGAAATAAATATCTAGGTAGGCTAGGTAAGGCAGAAGAGAAGGCTGGTCGGTCTGGGGCCTGCCGCCAGTGGCGTGAGGGGAGCTGGTGCGGCTCCGGGCGGACGGGCGGTTGGCCAAGTGGCCAGCCTGCTCCAGGTGCCAGCAGGTCTCCATGCCCACCAGCCAGGCCCCGGAGACCTGACGAGAGGCGACGAACACGCGCAGGAAGCCTGAGCTCCAGGAGCAGGGAGAAAGCCCGTCTTCCCAAACCACGGTGCTTTCTCTTTCCCACCCAACCCACCTGTGCGGTGGCAGAAAACCAGAGAAGGCCAGCATGTGTTTGCCACAGTCCAGTGAAGGGGGCAGGAGACGGGCGGAAGTGGGAGTGAGTGAAGGCCACTTGCCTCCAGAATCCAGCAGCTGACCGCAATCTACCTGCTCTTCCACCGAGTGAGAATCTTCTCAGACCGGACCCCACCCGGCAGGACGGGAGGCAGAAGCCGGGCACTGGCGACGGCAGGGGAACATCTGCCTCCCCAACTAGACGAGCAGGGCAGCAGCAGAGCTGGGCTCCCCCGGAGTCCTCACCCGCCCGTTGGCACCTGGCTCGTCCTTGAGCTGCCCGTGCTTGGGGCCAGGGCCCGAATTCATAGAAGCAGAAAGGAAGGGCCTCCCAGACATACAGGAACGGCCCCGGACTCTGGGGCAGCTAAGGCCAAAAGCCCACAGAGCACAAGAGGAGAGCGGGGGCACTTGGGGAATTTGTGCTTAAATTACGGACCATCTTCTTCCCTGGTCTCTAACCGGAACCTACAAGCTTGAGAAGTGCCAGATATCTGTGAAGCTCTGCATCAGGACAGGGGATGACAAACACCCCCTCCCCCACCGTGGGAATCACAGCAACGTGTCCCCAGGCCCAGGTGCGCACTGTGCCTTCAGCCCCCTCCCCACTCACTCGGCACAAAGGCCAGACGTCCCCACTTCCAAGTGTGTCTCCCCTGGATTCACTCGGAGGGGCTGCCTGGCTGCCTCAGTCTCGGCAGATTGTCCTGGCAGGAGGACCTGCTCGGGCGCGCTGCCCCCCCAACAGACGGGGGCTAACCCCCCGCGGCCTCCGCGCCAGCGTTCCAGCTGTGCGGCTACAAGCTGGGAACCTCAGATCTTGGGCCGCCAGCCTTTGATGAACTGCATGATCTTCTTGACCTGCAGCTTGGTGAGGTGGAAGTCATCTGCCAGGATGTCCTCACTGAGTTGCACAAAGATGCTGCCATCAATGCGTTCTCGGGCAAAGAAGCTCACCACATCCTCTGAGAGCCCGATGAAACGCAGACTTCGAGAGACTTCTTCCAGGGAGAGCGCAGACAGGTCAGCAGGAGGCTGCCAGGAGGAGGCATCCCGGCCTCCCCAGCCTGCAGCCCCCTCCCGGGGACTGGCAGGAGGCCCTTCCAAGCGCCCTTGGGTGAGAAGGAGCCGTCCTCCGCCTGCCTCGGGCCCCTGCAGGGCCACCAGTGACAGCGGGGTGGGGACCTGCCGCAGCACCAAACCTTCGGGTTCAAAGGCCTTGGGGGGTCCAAGTGGCGAGAGGCAGGGTGCCCCCACAGCTCTGGGCTCCTGACAGCGGAGCAGCTCGGGCTCTGGAGAACTGCCCTGGCCCAGCTCAAAGGGATCAAAGGGCTCCAGGGCTGGTTCCTGCCACTCAGAGGAGGAGGAGGAGGAGGTGGGACACGAGGTGGGAGCAGCTGAATAGGCCTGGCCTGGTGAGCCTGGGCCTGGGGGAAAAGCAGGGCTGGAGGTAGCCAGGGGACCCGAGCTGGTGGTGGGCCCAGAAGAGGAGGCCGCTGAAGGGCCGGAGGGGTAGGCAGGCCCCGAAAAGGGGTTGAGAGCTCCGAACGGAGCAAAGCGTTTCTGGGGGTGAGAGGGCTTGAACAGAGGCGGGCAGCTGTGGTAGGCCTTGACAGGGGTGTCCGCTCCCAAGAGGGAGGTGGCTCGACCGCTCAGGGGCTCTGCAAGGGCCCGGGCGGCCTGGCTGGGCTGCGTGGTCGAGGGCAGGGGTCCCGGGGGTGGGCGGCTGGAGGACTCGCCCGCCTTGCAGTCTCCCCAGGTGCATGGGTAGCAATAAAGGGAGTAGGCGTCCGGTGACGGAGAGCCACTGCCACTGCGAGACCCTGTCCTGTGGGCAGACACACACACACACGGAAGGGTCAGCCAGTGCAAGAGGGAAGCGCCACAGGCTCCCACGCAGGACACAGCAAACCGCTCTGCCAGGCCAGAGACGGCCACTGGGACCTCAGCACCACCCGCTCGCACCCCAGCCCCCGAGGCCCGAGACCCCCTGGGACTGCCCTGGTCTGTCTTCCAGCCTCTCCCACCCCAGGAAAAATTAAACTAAACTGCATTACATAAAAATTTTAATAGAGCAAGGAGCAGTCCATCCTGTGGCCGATCCCAGCCTGAGGGGACCCTGAGCAGTGTTCCCACCCAATCGTCAGCACTTAGGAACAAGCTGGAGCAGGAAGGTGGAAAGCAAAGCAGTGGGCCCCAGCCCCCGGCACCCTCGAGAACCTGCCCGCTCTGAACGGCAGGCCTGGACTCTTCCTCTCCCTCAGTACTGGCCCCCCTCTCCCCGCCCTTCCCCTCCTCAATCCCCCGCAGGAGGACCCAGCACCAAGAGCAGGCAGGGGCTCACCCGTCCTGGAGGCCAGACGAGTAGTAGGGGAGGCTGGAGCTAGGTGAGCGGCCGGGCTGCAGCTTGGGGAAGCGTGGGGGCACCGGGGGGCTGCCCGAGAGCCGGCCGCTGCCACTGCCACCCCGGGGAGGCACAGGGGGGGCATTGAGCAGGCGGCACTCCTCCTTCACCTGCAAGCAGAGCGCCATGACTCCACGCCCTGTCCCCAAGCAGTGGACACTCCTTACCTTCCCTTTCCCAAGCAGCTGGGCAAGGAGGGTGTCTGGGCCTGACACTTGGCCTTACCTCCAACTACTCACCCACCCCACCCCTTCTAGTCTCTCCAGCCTGTTTCACTCTGAGAGCCCACACACACCAACTCCCACGGCCCTGGAAATCCATCATGAAGGTAAGAGAATACAGAAGTAGATCCAAAGAGAAAGTCAACCTTTTCCTCCAGGAAAAGGAAAGTGGTGTGACAGGGAGAAGAAAGGGAAGGACAAGTATCTGCCATCTGATTCCCTTCTTTACAGGTCGAATACTCAAAGTGGACTCCCTGGGATATTAAAAGCTAGAGTCTATTTCTGTGGACAAGTATGGTTGGGAAATTCTGTGTTAGGTATAGATAGGGCTCCTTAATGCAGGACTTCTCAGAGCTTTTAATAAACCAAAGTTCTATGGCTCCAAAGTGAGGAGGGGGTGAGCTGGGAATCTTCCACTACATTTTTCTAAACTTATTCCATCATGGGACCTTCTTTTCACTGGACAATTTAAAGGACTCCTGGTTCTGTGGGACCTTCAGGGCTCATCCCAAATTCTCTCAAGCTGGAGACCTGCTAGCATCTTTGTCTCCAAAACTCCTAGCACCACTGTCTCTAGTATCCCTTACTACAAATACGCTCCTGTGTCTTTCCCCTTGTTCTCCCGTTCTTCCGCCCCCTCCTCCCAGGCCCCCCCCCCCGCCCCCCCGTCACACACTCCAGGGGCTGGAGCCCGGGGCTCAGGAGAACTGGCATCTGGCTGGCCACCTCCCTCCCTGGAGGAGAGCGAGCCCCCAGCTCGGCTCCCTGCCTCCCACCCTTCCCACCTCCATCGCAGCCACCCACCGCCTCGGACTTGGGGGGGACAGGAGGCGGCGGGGCCTCGGGCTCCAGGCGGGGCGGCCCAGCGGCCACGAAGGAGATGAGGTCGGGCCCGGGCTGCGGCCGAGCCCGGCCCTCGGCGAGGCCGTCGGCCGCCTGGTGCGTCCACAGCTCCTCGTAGGGGATCTCGGCGGGCGGCGCTGCGGGCTCGGGGGCGCCGGCCCAGTCCGGGCTCACGTACTCCTGGTCGCCGTCGCCGGGCGGGCCGGGGGCGCGGGCGGGGGCGCGCGGGGGCGCGGGCAGGCAGAGGCGCGCGCGGCGCGGGCTGGCGCAGTCGTCGGCCAGCTCGGCGGGGGCCTCGCGCACGGCCGTGGAGTACTCGTCGGGGTCGAAGCGCTCGCGGCAGTAGGAGGCGCTGTCGCGCACCAGGCGCTCCACGCGCGGGTCCCCGGCCAGGAGGCCCTGCGGCAGCGCGAAGCGCGGCGTGTCGGTGAGCAGCAGGAAGTGCAGCGGCGCCGGGCCCTCGCGGCGCAGCGCCAGCCCCAGCACCACGGTCTTGGAGATGATGCTGACCAGCTTGTAGCAGTGGCCCTCCCGCACCGGGTGCAGGTCGTAAGGGTTGCGCGGCGGCCGGCTGGGCACCAGCACGTTCACCGGGAGCCGCACGCGCTCGATGATGGCGCGCACCGTGTGCTCGCCCTCCTGCATCTGCAGCTCCAGCGGGCTGCGCGTGCTGAAGCGGCCCTGGCACTGGAAGGGCAGGCTCAGGCTCTCGTTGGTGCGGTGGTTCATGCAGATGAGGCAGGGCATCTTGCCCTTGATGGGCCTGGCGCCCCCGCCGCTCGCGGCCCCCGCGCCCCCGGGGCCGCCGCCGCCCACCCCGGCCAGCGCCCCGGCCCGGCCCAGCTTGCGCAGCAGCGTGGTGAAGCGCGAGCGCTCCTTGGTGGTCTTGGCGCACAGGATCTCCGCCTGGCCCATGAGAGTGAGCTCGTCGCCCGCGTGCAGCGTGAAGTTGTACACCTCGCTGTCCTCGCTGAATTCGCCCGACACCACCTGCGGAGACCAGGAACACGGCGAGGCCTTAGCCAGAGCCCCAGGGAAAGCCGCCCTTTGAGGCTCCCGGCGGGGGGGTGGGGTGGGGGGGCGCGTTCCCCGGGCTGACACCCGATCAAGACCACTGGACTGGGGGGTCGGGGACCCACCTTCCCTCCTGGAGAGGCCACATGGCAGCTGTGCAACCTTAAATGAGCTGGCTCTGGGGCCTAGTTGCCTCATGTAATAACTCTTAGTTGGAAGAATTGCTGTATGTACAGTGACCTACTTTGAAAATACCCAATAAATGACAATTTTATTATCGTTATCTTTACAATCTGGGCAGGAATAATGCTCCACCCACTCAACAAGGCTACTGTGAAGAGAAATGAATTGATGGATAAGGGTTTGTAAACAGTAAAGAGCGATCTGTACACAAATGGGGCCTATTGGTATTGTGAACCCCAACAACTACCCCTTACCAGTGGACACTAGGACAGGCTGCCCTGAAGGCCTCCAAGTCAGGGCCTGATGCTCCACACTTACTCCTGCCTCACCACCTTTCCAGAAAGGTCTGCAGGCCAGCGGGTCACACACCTAGCTCTTCTGATATGGCCAATCGTGCCAAATGCCGTCGGGGAGCTGCCAGGAGCCACACTGACCTTCTACCTAAGGGCAACCCTCCAACCAGCGATGGGGCATCCTGCCTGGTGTGGCAAGGACTGACCTTGACGCTGAAGGTGATGGCTTCCATCACAAAGATGCGGTCAGGGAAGACGCTGGCCACCTCCTCCACGCTGCTGAAGTACCTCACTGGCTCCCGCACATCCCGGGCCTGCTCCAGGAGCTTGAACTTCCCTACAAAGGAGGAACACAGGCTGCTAGGGCAGGCCTGTCTGCTAGTCCCTACTTCCTGCTACCCTCACCTCAGCCAGCCCCGCTGGAACTCCGGCGGGCAGAAAGGCAGGTTTGCACCCACAGGAGGTGGAAGGGGCTGGTCAGCTGGCTCAAGGGCAAAGGAGAGCACAGACCTAGCATCTGGAACCCCACGGAGAGCTTGTGGGTGGGTGAGGAGGTTAGCAGCTGCCTGCCCAGAGAAATCCGAGTGCAAAGAGGCAGCCGAACACTTGCACGCAGAGCTGGCCTCTAACCAAGCATCAATGTGGCACAGGAGATGCAGGCTCCTAGCTTTGTCCCAGCCCCACTCTGACTTGCTGTGACCCTAGACAAGCCCCTTCCCCTCTCTGGGTGCTCATGTGAGGGTGCTGGAGCAGGGGCTTTGGGGTCCTGTCTAGATCTGGCATCCAACGCGTCGACCTTGGGTGGCTGATCCATAGCGATGCACTGGGCAGGCCGGGGGCTCAGCCCGAGGCCTTGGAGGCCCCAGGAGAGCTGCTCAGACTCCAGCTCTGTTCCCAGACCCTGCCCTGGTCCAACATCCAGCCGCACCGTCCCAGAGACCTCTGACCAGAGCCCAGCAAAATCCCTCAGAGGCGGCCTTCCGAGCCTGCAGTCTAGGGCTGTTTTGGCTGGCTCGGCGGATGCCCCCAGCAGACACGGACTTCCAAAGAAGGAGGCTAATCCATGAAGCTGACACCCTTGTGTAAATGGTCTTACCTCACTGGCCACACACGTGTAATGTGCCCACCTTCAAGAGCACAAAGACAGGCTGCGAAAATCCTGGACATGTGGACGGATACCCTCTTCTCAGGCCTTCCACAGACAGAGGGGAATCTTAGGTGAGGGGACAACAGGCCAAGAGGAGGCAAGGTGGGTCTTTAGCTTCCATAGCCTTCCTGGAGGTGGTTGCTGCAGTCATGGTCCAAGCATTTATTCATTCCCCAGTTATGGAGCAGCCTCTGTGTGCCAGATGTTGGGCTAGACCTGACAGAGGGTGCAAACCCAGGGACTCGGACAGAGTGGGTGTGACAGTGAGCGCCCAGTACCGGCGGGTGGGGACCCGGGACTAGAGAGCCAGAGGACCGCGGAGTGAGTGGGAACCTGCCTGGCGGCCTGAGGGGATCCTGAGAATGAGAAGAGTTTTACGGAACAGACCGTCCCACATGGAAGAACTGGTGCAAACCAGAGTCAGGAGAGCAGACTGCCGGCCCTGGGCCCGACAGGGGAGTGCCTGTGCCCAGGCCTTGAGGAAGGGGACGACAGCCGGGGAAGTAGCATCCGGGTGATGAAAGGCTCTGAATGCCAGACTAAGGCGGAAGGATTCTACGCAGGAAGAAATGAGCTTTCGGCTTTTTAGCTTTTCTCCTAAATTCAATCCCAATGAGATCAAAGTCTTATACCTGAGGTGCACTGGTGGGAAAGCTGGGGCCATGTCTGCTGGGCCTCCAAGATTGGCCCCCTGGGTCTGTCTCCAAATAAGGTGAGTGAGGACATTGCCCGAACCAGTGGTGACTGCAAGGGTCTGAGGTGGACAGTGACGCTGACCATTCAAGACAGGCCCAGATTGAACTGGTACCTTCTGCCCTCTGCTCTGATCATCAAAGCCCTCAATGAACCACCAAGAGACAGAAAGAAGCAGAAAGACCTGAATCACAGTGGAAACATCACTTTTCAGGAGACTGTCAACACTGCCCCACGGAAGTGGCACGCATCATTAGCTAGAGAACTCTCTGGAACCATTCAAGAGATCCTGGGGACTGCCCAGTCTGTAGGCCGCAATGTTGATGGCCGTCACCTTCGTGACCTCATAGATGGCATCAACAGTGGTGCAGCAGAATGTCCCACTAGTTAAGAACCAAAAAGGAAAGTATTTCAATAAAGGGTCATCCGACCCCCCCGCCAAAAAAAAAGAAAGAGAAAATAAAAAGAAATGAAAGCAATTACAGTGTGTTTTGAGCAAGGAAATGCCAAGATCCAAGTTGAGCTCTGTAAAGAAAGTGTGGGCGGCCGGCCGGTCAAGTCAATCAGCCAGGGACTGTTCTGCAGCAGAGCCCAGACGGTGGCTGGGGGAAGAGCGAAATGGAACAAAGGGGTACGTGGAAGGAAGCCTGGGGTGGCAGATGAGGAGTAGGCAGGGGAGGAGAGGACTCGGGCCACCACGCCTAGCAGGAATAGAGCTGGCAAAACAGACTCTTAATGCTAGACAACAGGGCACCTGGGTGGCTCAGTTGGTTAAGCGACTGCCTTCGGCTCAGGTCATGATCCTGGAGTCCCTGGATCGAGTCCCGCATCGGGCTCCCTGCTCGGCAGGGAGTCTGCTTCTCCCTCTGACCCTCCCCCCTCTCATGTGCTCTCTCTCATTCTCTCTCAAATAAATAAATAAAATCTTAAAAAAAAAAATGCTAGACAACAAACTGAGCGTTGCTAGAGAGAGGTGGGCAGGGGGTGGGCCACATGGGTGATGGGGATTAAGGAAGGCACTTGTGATGAGCACCAGGGGGTGTATGTAAGTGATGAATCCCACACCTGAAATCAATATTACACCGTACGTTAACTGGAATTTAAATAAAAACTTGAAACTATGAGAAAGAAAAAAAGGAGACAAAAAAAGAAAGAAAAAATGGAGCTGGCAGAGCTGCTAAGCGAAACTGGGGACCCGGAAGTAACATGCTGTGGGGCTGGAGCCAGTCCTGAGGAGGCCAACTGAGGGGGTGGGAGGCCAGGAAGGGGTGCTCCTGGGGGGGTCGGGGGCAGGGCTTGGGGATGCCTGGTCAGAAGTTCAGACTGAAGGTCACCAGCCCACGGGTGGAGTCTTCCTAGGGCAGGGAAGACAGCTCAAGGAAAGAAGAACAGAAGATCTTAACGCTCTGGGAACCCTCTTCCCAGAAAAATGCCCACAGCGAACTCCTGGCATGAACACAAACACCATTTTGTATACAGTGTGGGGGGTCCTGGATTCCCCAAAACCCAGCCAGAATCCCAGACTGAGGACCCCCCACCGGGCCTCCCCAGTGCTGGGTAGGAAACACGAAGGGCCAAGGACAGACTCCATGAGCATCTAGAAGCAGGAAAGAAGTGAGAGCGGAGAAAGAGAAGAGCAAGTGCCCCGGAGAAAGCTGGGGAGGGAGTCCTGCCCCCACCACTCTGAGACCCTCGAATGAAGACGTGCCTCAGCCCTCGAGGGCAGCAGGGATGCCGGGGGAGGGGCCCAGCAGGGAACAGCCGTCTGGGGGTCGGGTGGCAGGACTTGCACCTCGGCTACCTTCCCACCGGGAGCGCTGCCCCTCCCTCACCCGGTGTCCCCCCCACCCCCCAAGCCCCCCCACCCCAAGCAGCCATGCGGGGCGAAATGCCCGCTGCCTCCTGTGGGGAGAGCCGGAGCCAAGTCAGGGCTGCAGCCGGGGGAGGATGTGGCCCGGGGATCGATGTAACCATGGTAGCCGGCACCACCCCCTCGGCCGCAGCCTGAGCCCGGCACCGGTCATTACTGCAGGAGGAAGGAAGGAAGGGAAGCCTCCCGGGAGTGAGGCGCTAGCCCCTGGAAGCCTTTACTCCCCCCTGCAGCTTCTTCTCCTGCCTTCCCCCGGCCCGAGGCCCCCGCAGGCCCAGGGAGCTGCCCCCCCCCCCGCCCCCCGCCTGCCCCTGCTCCCTGCCCTCCCCTCCTAGAACACATGTGTGCTGCCTGGCGTCCCGTCCAGCCCGAAGCAGCCCTGCTTATCTCCCCTCCTCCCAGCACCCGACCCCGGCAGCCGTTCCCTCAAGAATGATGGGTAAATGTGCACACTTGGGGGTGGACAGACCCGGCTGTAGCCCATCTCTGGCACCAACCAGTTGTGTGACCTTAGGCAACCTATTTACTCTCTGTAGGCTTCAGTTTTCCCATCTGTGAAATGGAAGCATACGGCCTAGCGCCCCGTGTGCCAGCCGCCGCTGACCAGAGCCACCTGGCCCCGCGCTCGGGGCGGTGGGGGCTGCCTCAGAGCAGCCAGGTTCCCCCGGACTCCCCGGGTGCGGGGCTGCACTCCCCACCCCCGCGGCCCTCCGGTCCGCAGCCACTGCCCCCGCCCACCCTATTATTAATTCATTAGGAGGAACTGGGCTGTGCTCTCAGCTTCCTCCTTACCCCGCCCCTCCTACTCCTAAGGGGCCTGGCCTCCCCTCCCCCACCGAGCCACCCACTGGAAAGATGCTGATGGGGATGCTCCTCTCCTACAGGCCAGCTGTCACCTCATGACCACAGGGTCCACATGCACTCAGGGGCACCAAAAGACATAGGGGAAGGGCTAGAAGCCTCCTGCTCTCACTCTTCCCTAGGAGGTTCTGTGCCTTGGTTTCCCGGATTCTTAATCACACAACTGAAATAGGAAAGTAAAGTCACACTTCTGTCAGTGAGGGCTTTTTCCAATTTTTGCTTTTTTATCCCAAGAAGAACTGGGACCTCTGCCTGGACGAACACCAGATAGATACCCAGCCTGGGAAGTTTCTAGCTTCTAAGCAGGCCTTCTCAAGGGCTCAGGGCTCAGGACAGAACCCCAGGTCAGAAAGAACCTGAGAGAGTTTTCTCATCTTTTAAATGCGCTGTGAGGGCTATGGGGGCACCAACTTCGCAGTGTTGTTGTAAAGAGCAGAAGCCTTTGTCTTAGTCCTGTCCCCCCTGGTTGAGGAAGGGCTGGGGGTGGGGGGCAAGCTACTGGAGTTCCTGGAGCCTCACTTTGTGAGTTAAATGGAATTAATAAGACTTTCTCACAGGGTGGCCGTGGGGATAAAATGATGAAATGCTCAGCTCAGTGTCTGGAAGGCAGCCATGGATGGGTTTAACACACAGGAGCTGTGTGGTCGTGGGCTCACATGGGGGCTTCGCTGGGATGGAGCCACCAGATTCCCATCCTTCCCACCCAGGTGACGACAGCCCTGCATTGCTGGTGTGGTGCAAGCAAGCACCAGCCCAGGAGTCAGGTTACTGGGGTTCTAGCCCATGCTCTGCTTCTTACTAGCCGTGTGACCCTGGGCAAGTCCCTTCCCTCTTAAACCCTCTGTTTTATCATGCGTAAAATACAAGGGCTGTATTTTCCCTCTCCAGCAGCAGGATCCTTTCTTCAAACAAAATCTGATGTAGATCAACATCATATGTATAAAAGATAAAAGTAGTTCATTAGCGTAATCTTATTTAAAAGTCTAAAACATTAACATTCACTTATAAAGTCAATCAATGAAAACAACGAATTTAACACAAAAATTGGGAAGAACAGGGCGCCTGGGTGGCTCAGTCGTTAAGCGTCTGCCTTCGGCTCGGGTCATGATCCCAGGGTCCTGGGATGGAGTCCCACATCGGGCTCCCTGCTCTGCGGGAAGCCTGCTTCTCCCTCTCCCACTCCCCCTGCTTGTGTTCCTGCTCTCGCTGTCTCTCTCTCTGTCAAATAAATAAATAAAATCTTTAAAAAAAAAAAAAATTGGGAAGAACAGGATTACAGTGGGCAGGGGCAGCCAGATACTCAGCCCAAGCATCCCTTTGCTTCTGAAGGGCTTTGGTTGCACGCCACTGAGAAGATCCTGGCCGTGTTCTCCTTGAGGGTCTGTACCAAGCAGGCTTAATGAGGCAGCTCACGGAACACAGCCCAGGTCTCTCGCTGGGCTTAAGGTTTGACTCCTAGCAATCTGAGAGTGTGGGTATTTTTTTTAATCAGTTGTTCAAAATCTATTTTAAAATAAAATGTGAATCAAAGGTTTTCAACAAGAAAACCAGGACTTCCCAGAGCAGTATGAAAACCACTGGACCCTAACCCTAACCGCCCCCTGCCCGCCAGGCCCTGGCTCAGCCCTGTGGCTCCGGGGAAAGGGTGGTCACCAACAGCTTCTCCCAAGCCCCACCTCCTACCCTCCTGCCTCCACCCCCCAGCGGCTCTATGTCATCTGTCCCTGGCTGGGCACACCTGGGTACTGCAGGGGGATGTCAATCTTGGGTCCGATGACGTAGTGGCCCTCCTCCAGGGTATGGGCTGTCACTGTTGTCCACTGGCGGCAGGAGTGAATGAGCAGGATGTCTCTCTCACTGACACCCTCGGCATACTCCCCTGGGAGGCGAAGGACGGAAGAGGAGGGAAAGGTAAAGCGAACATCAGGAGGGGCAGAGAGAGTAGGGAGGCTGACTACTCTAAGACCCTGCCTAGGGGCAGCTCCCCATGAGCCTGTCCCGGTCAGCAAGGCTCAGGGGATAAGCAGTTTGCCGGCTGTGGCCTCAGGGCTGTGAGTCATGCCCCGTCTCCCAGGGCCAATTCCCGCCCCTGACAGGGCCCCAGCAACCAGCCCAGCCATAGTCCTGAGTCTTTCACCTGCTGTCCCAGGCCCAGTGCTGCTTGGGGCCCTGGGGCTGGGGGGGGCGGGCGCGGGGAGGAGCACCTCCCAGCAGATTTGCCAGCCCTGTCCTCCAGGAGCACTTAGACCCATGGGGAGGTGGAAGAAATGTGAACGGAGAAAACAGACCACCTTTGACGTTGAGTGGAGGTTGTCTGGGCACTCCCAGAGGGGAGCAGCCAACTAGCCGGGGGTGGGGTGAGCAGCAGACCCTAGAGCTGGCCCGCAGGACCACCAGCGGGGTTCTCAGCCCCCAAGTCAGTGCCTGAGCCAGGCAAGGAGGCCTGTCCCAGCCCTATCTGTGTTGGAGGCACAGACAGGGCTGAGACAGGGCTGTCCGTTGTGAGTCCCAGCTGAGGGCTCCCCCCAGCACCATACATCCCTCGAGTCAGAAGAAGAACAGGGCTTGGAGGAGCTGATTCCTGCCTCTCTCATGGGCAGCCCTTTTACACGCATTGCCCCAGGAAATTCCTACATTCAGGGGATCGCAAAGGAGAGGGAGGAAAGTCTCAGATACCCCCTAGCCCCTCGCAGAGAGGCTGTTTCTTGGCCCGCCCTTTGTCAGCCCTTCACCCTCCCAGTCTCTGGAACACTGTGATGAGGTTGGGGGGGGTGGCTTTCAGGGGGGGCCTAGTTCTGGGGGAAGCTGCACTGGGGCAGAGGTGTTGGGAGGGGCCTGGGCCCAGGAGTTTCCAATCCCAGCAACGGTTTCCAGGGGAGCCGGAGCGGCCTCCTGGCTGCAGCTGGTGGGCAGGGGTGGGGGGGGACGCCTCCTTCCCAGCCCTCTCAGACACAACTGACTAAATTGCTGCCACCCAACCGAATGGGAAGTGGTTTATCCTGATGCCTGAGGGCCCCATGAAGTGTGTGGGGAGGATGTGTTCAGGTGCTTGGGGGAGGGCCTGGCTCCCACTGTGTTGGAGGGGGTCTGAACCTTCCTCCTGGGGCCCTCCCCTCCGGGGGCAGAGAAAGCTCTCCTAAACCCCGGCCCACCCTTCCACAGGGACACGGGTCACGGTCCCAACAGTCGAGGCAGCACAGCCACCTGGCCCAGTGACAGACAGGAGCTGGTCACCCCACTGACACAACTCAGTCCCACAGCCCCACTAAGGGGCCTCTCCCAAACGCAGAGGCATACAAGGACCTTTAAGACTTCAAGACATACTTTGTTCGCATAGCCACGCTCATGGTGACCACAGCCACAGCCCCCACGGTCACAGCTAGACCATCACCAGTTGTCCATGCATTCATCCATTGGGTCAGTAAGTCCATAATCTTTATTAAGCAGGATGTCTCCCTTCAAGGAGGATGCAGCCCAGCGTTAAGACAATAAGCTATTACAATGGGTGCACAGGACTCAAGTCAGGGGTGCCAGAGGGGTCCTGGGAGTCCAAAAGAGGCCTGCCCAGACCGGGGAGCTTAGAAAGGACCCCCAGGAGGGAGAGATGCCCAAGAGGATGTGTGGGGGGAAGTGGCCAGGCAGAACCCAGGGCCCGCTCAGCCCATTCACAGGCAGACACATACAGCCTTGAGGCTGACACGGACGGTCTCGGGATCACACGCCGACGACCCGGAGAACAAGACGCTGCGCGGCTGAGCCCCTCTGTCCGACGGCCCGGGCACGGACGCCGCCACGCAGTGCGCTCGCGAAACGCGCGGAGGCTCACGGTGCCCACTCGTCGCCGCGGTCGGAGGAGGGGCCGCGGGCCCCAAGGAGAGGAGAGGAGCCTGTGGCCGCGGACCCCATTAGCATTCAGGGAAGCGAGTGTGCCAACGCGGGCCAAACCCCTATTCTTCTCACACACAAAACCCCCGGCCTGGCTGCCAGCCCCGGCTCCCGCCCCTCCTCCAGCCGAGCAGCTCCCCTTCCTCCAAACGGTCCCCTCACTCCGTGCAGCCTCCAGGCGTCCCCTTTCGGGCCCCCATGCAGAGTCCCATCGGCAGAGCACCCGCGCCCCTGGGAAGTGGGGCAAGATGTGGGGGAGGGCCGGGGACTTGGGGGCACGCCCGGCGGGAGGGCCAATCATTCGGGTCTCTCCCCGAGGTGGCCTGCCCGCCTGGGGCCGCAGACTGCTCCCCAGGACGCGAAAGGAAGGTGCAAGAAGGGTCCCAAGAGGGGCCAAGCAGGGCTGGGGGGCGGCGGCGGTGGGAAGACAGAGTCGGAGGCCCAAGGGATGCGGGAGGATCGAGGTGAGAGGCGGGAGACAAAGGGACGGAGGGGGCGCGGCCCGGGCGGGGGTCTGAGCGCGGCAGGGAAAGGGATGCACGACGGGGCGGGCGCGGGGCCTCCGCCGCGCTCCGGGTTCTAGCTGGCCCGGAAAACTCTGTCCCGGCCGGGCCTCAGTGCCTGTCCCGGATTTCTGTCCCGGTGCCCGTGCGCAGGGCCCAGGAGGCGGCGGACCCTCGGCTCTCGGGCCCCGGGTCTCCAGGGAAGGCGCACCGGGAGCTGCGCGGGACCGGCGCCGGGAGCGGGAGGGCAGAGGCCACATCCTCACGCCCCCCCATCCCCCAGCACCTGCCCCGAGAGTCCCCGATTTCCCCGCGGACCCCCAGCCGCCCTCCCCCGCACCCCGGTACCTGGCCCGAGGCAGGCGAGCGTGGGCAGGCGGCAGCGGCTGACGATGAGGTCGAGCGGGAAGGCGCCCATGCTCCAGCGCAGGCCGGCCAGCCCGGCCGCCAGCTTCTCCATGGCATGGGCGCCCCCGACGGCCAGCCCCGCGTGGCCCGGGCTCCCGCGCCCGCCGCCACCTCCTGGGGCCGCCGCGGCGCTCCCCGCCTGGCAGCCCGGCCGGGGCTGCGGGCGTCACGTGGCCGGCCTCCCCGCGGGGCGCCGGCCCCCGCCCCCGGCCCTCGCCCCACCCCCCGGCCCGCGCCCGCAGCCGCCGCCAAGTCCCGCCTCCCCGCCCCGCGGGGCGCGCCGGCCCCCCTCCCCGGGCGTGCAGGTGACAGCCCAGGACCGAGGACCCCGGGCGGGCGCCTGGAACGAAAAGGAAGATGCGCGGCGGCATCTCCGGGTCGGGGCAGAGGGCAGCTTCCTCGACCCCGCCGAGTGCGTCTGGAACCCCTTTCTCCGCCGGGAGCGGCGCCTCTCCTCGGCCCCTTGTGCCACCGCCCACCCCGGGTCCGCTCCGCTTCCCGAAGCTCCTGCGCAGAATTCGGCAGCTGCGGTCGCGGCGGCCATGGCATCTATCACCTCCAGCTTCACAAAGCCCGGCGAGGCCGCCTCATTAACCCCATTTTACCGATGAGCAAACTGAGGCTCAGAGAGGTCAAGTGGCAGCTCGGCTTGTGTCCTGGTTTGACTTCAAAACCCTACTGCCTTCCCCGATACTCGCCGCACCCCCCCCCACCCCGAGCCCCCACTAAAGAGCACTTGCCAAGCTCCCAGTGCCCTGGAACCGATTTTCACGGGTCCTGCGGCCGGATAGCTCCAGCACACACACAGCACGCCACGCACAACCGCTCCGACTGAGGCCCAAGCAGGTGACTGGTGGTGGAGTCTCCTCTCTCAGGCGGATTGTCCCGTCTCTCCTTCCCTTAAGTTGCTCTTCCTTTTCTGCTGCCCACACCTCCTCCTTCCAATCCCTTGTGGCTCCAGTGCGGGACCTCCTCTTGGGGAGCCCTTCCAGAAGGTGCGGTGGCTTCGGCGGGGGACGCGCTGCCAAAGGACCCCCGTGGCCCTCGATGTGTCTGCGGTGCCTTCTGCAGGTGAGCAGGGGCGGGTGCAGGCCTGCGGAGGGGCCTGGGCCGCCAAAAGTAGGCCTTAGCCCCAGCTGGTCCTTAAAGGGCTCCATGGACTCTAGTCCTCAGCCTCCCAACCCAGGGAGACCCCCACACAGGTGCATGCAAACCCTCTCTTCGAGGGGACTGACCTCCCACATCGTGTGACCTGAGCCCCATGAGCAGTGGCACCAGAGAAGGTGAACACAACTTCACAGTGGGAAGACATTTCTGATCACTTGTCCCATCTCCATCTTTTGCAGAGGAAGCAAGGGCAACTCCAAGAGCAGGAATGCCTGGCTCCCAAGATAACAGAACAGGAAAGCAGAGGAGGCCGGCCTCCGCCAGTGCTGACTCCATAACCAGGCCCACGGGCCCGCAGCCCAGCGGAGGCCGCCTCCCTCCATGTCCACTGCCCCGAGGCTGAGCGGCTGGCCCTCGGGCTCGCTCTTCCTTCAGCCACCACAGCTGTGACTTGGGCTAACCCGGATGGTCTGTGGGGTGGGGAGGAGCACGCTCCTGGGGAAGTGGGCAAGAAGAAGGTAGAGCAAGGGGAAAATGCAGGCGTCTAAGGCAGGCATGGAGGGTCAGAGGTAGGAGGAGGATGAGGAGGCCAAGAGAAGCAAGTGGGTGAAAGGAGCCTGACTTAGTCACTTTTCTTTCCCTGCCCTGCAGGCTCTCTTGAGTAGGGTGACCACAGCATTTGTCATCCAGACGAGGACACTTCTGAGTGAAGGAGGTGCCAGGTGGAACAATAGGCATTAACCAGACTCTAGGACAGCGGGTGTAAACCAGGACTGGGCCATGTGGTCGGTCACCCTGTCTCTGAAGGATGCCTCTGAGCCGTGCCTACCGCGGCTTCTCACGCTCTGGCAGAGGCTCACCCCGACTCACCCCGGCGCTAGGCCTCAGTTTCCAGCTCTGCACCTCCACCCCGGAAGCAGCATCCACAGGCCTTCCGTTTCAACAATCACGCTTGTGTTTGCTCCTCTTTTACCTTCTATCCCAGCTAAGGAATCACCTTTCACCTGGTGCCCCAACCTGGAAATCTCCTTAACCCTTACTTACATCCACCTGGTCACCAAGTCCTGGTGATTCTGCTTCTAGCATGTGTCCTGTGGAGCCCTTCCTCCTCTCCAGGCCTGCTTGTCCCAGCCTGACTTCTGTTCCTCCCCCAGCCTTCTCTCCCTGAGGCCACCCTTCGTAGTTCATGCCAAAAGCCCTGCATACAGCTCTGAATGGGGACTGAGTCAGGGACTACACACGTGTGAGACATCAGGCAGAACCACGTAACTGGCTGGACCCACTTCCTAACTGTTGTAGAGTTCCAGAACCTCTCCAGGACTTTTTAATGCTTGGCAAAGCTCAGGGACCAGACACACAAGTGCCCCAATACAGAGATCCCTGGATTTGCTTGGGGCTCAGGCGCCGTTTGGGAAGGAACTCAGTGCCACTTAGAGTCCGAACTTCTTAGAGCTTAGGCGGAGGTTTCTGGAAGATGGTTGGCAAGTCGGAGAGCCAGGAAGCGAGGTGAGGTAGGAAGATGGGTCAGTAGAAAAGCCAGTCTGAGCAGCTGGATCTGGAAGTGAGAGAGCCAGGGGGCCTGCGTGGTGTATGAGGCTGTGCCTGAGCTTTCCAGCCCTGGGAGAGTGTGGGTCTGGCTGAGAGGCAGAGGCCTGGGCTGGGTCACTGGGATCCCAGCTGCTCTGCTGACAGGGTTGATGGTGACAGGTAGAAGGTGGCTTCCTACTGGGTGGAGGGGAGGACACGTGAGAGGTCAGTGGAGGGGCCGGGGAGGGGGTCGGAGCCCTGGCAGAGGCCCACTTTTGGCCCAGTGGCCAGGGGTTAGCCGAGCAGCCCGTGAGTGGGGCAGAAGCGTCAGTGGAGTAAAAAGATGGCAAAAGGGGCCAGCCCTGGCCGGGGTTGTGTGTGAAACGGCCCCACCCCACCCCATCTAGGGGACAGGTAGCCTTCTCTGAGTCCATGAACTATAGGAGGCCAGAGAACATTTGGGTCAGCACCTCTGAGAATTCTAGGAAATACTGTATCCAACTTTTTATTCTAGAAAATTCGAAATGTACAGAAAAGTAGAGGTAATAGTCTTATGAATCCTCCATGTGTTTCTGTGCACTTGTTTACTCCTCTTAATTTTTTTTAAAAGTTTATTGAGATATCATTCACATACTATGCAATTCATCCATTTAAAGTTATACAATGTTTTTAGCATATTCACCATATTGTGCCACCATCACCATGATTTTGCCATAAATATTATTTGTATCTGGACCGGGCAGCTGTACCGTCATTAGGCGTTTCTAAGACTACCACACACCCATTAGAAATAATGCTTACAAAAGAATCGTAATGATTGGGGGAAATCCTCATTGTAAAAGGTTAATGTAAAAAAGTCAGGATAGCATTTCATGAATAAATGAACTATAAAAAAAGAAACAAAGGGAACATGCGCTCATTTTTTTTTAAAGATTTTATTTATTTATTTTTGAGAAAGAGAGAGCGACCCTGCCCATGATCGGAGGGGAGGGGCAGACGGAGAAGCTGACTCCCCAGTGAGCAGGGAACCCAATGAGGGCTGGGCTCAGTGAGGGGCTGGATGCAGGGCTCATTTCGGGTCTCGATTCAGGGCTGGAGGCGGGGGCTGGATGCGGGGCTCAATGTGGCCCTTGATCCCAGGGATCATGACCTGAGCTGAAGGCAGATGCTTCACCGACTGAGCCACCCAGGCGCCCTGCTCTAATGTTGAAAGTGTGTCTGGGTCATGGAATAAGTGATACTGTTTCTCTAATTTTAAAATATTATCCAAAGTTTTATATAGTGAAGAGGCATTTATTTGGTAATTAGAAGCCAGTTTAAACTTTACAAATGAGGGTGTAGGACCTGATGGTATCTGAGGCCCTGCCTGCCTCAAAGTTTTTTGTGTTTGAATATTCTCCCCACAGGCATCCCGCTGCCCACCAGAGGGAGGAGCGGGGGGGCCCCCCAGCCAGGCCCCTCCGGGTGGGGGTGGGTGAAGGCCTGCCCGCTGGGAGAGAGGGTTCTGGGCCCAGCAGGTCTTCCACAGCTGGAGACAGCCAGCTTGCCCCCTCATAGGCACCCAGGGAGATCACCATCCTGTGCCTCATTCAACATCAATTTTCTTTGATAAAAGAAATTCTTTCCAAAAAAAAAAAAAAGACATTCTTTCATTACCACTTTATTACAAATTTAGGCATTTATTACTTGCAGTAAACACACATAACTTTTCGACAATTTATTTGGAATTGTCTTTCATTTCATGCACAATCACTAAGTAATTTCCATGGACATATAGTTCCAACATTTTGTTCAACCTCTGCTTACTGTTCTCCTTCAGATTGTCTTTTGCAATATTAAGAATCAGACAACTTATGTGTAAACTAATTAGAATTTAAATAAAAACTTGAAACAAAAAAGCAAAGAATATATGGGGCTCTTGGCTGGCTCGGTTGGTAGGGCACACGGTTCTTGATCTTGGGGTATTGAGTTCGAGCCCCACAATGGGTATAGAGATTACTTAAAAAGAAAAAAAAAATCTTAAAAAAAAATAATAATATAGCTGTCCCGTGAGCAACTTCAACTATGCCATCATAGAGATTCCAAATTGTGACTGTCCTCAGATGTCTGTCAGCTGACAATTTTTCCAATTGTTCATTGCAACTGTATAGAAATACAGTTGATTTATATATATATTGTCCTTCAAACTTCTTAAATTCACTTACCAGTTTTCATATCTATTTTTGTAGATTCCTGGGAATTTTCTATGTCCATGATCGTTTGTCTATAGAAACAAAGACTGTTTTATTTGACTGTCTTCAATCTGTATGCCTTTTATTTTGTACAGTGGTGAGGACCTCCAGTTCTGTGTTGAATCGGAGAGGTGAAAGCAGACATCTTTGCCTTGTTCCTGATTTTCTAGAGGGAAAATCTTTCATCTTTTACCATTGAGTAGGATGTTAATTGTGGGGGTTTTGTCGGTGACTTTTATCAGGATGAGGAAGTTCCTTCCTATTCCTACCATTTTATTGTTTTCTTTTTGTCTTGATTTTTTGTTCCTCTGGTTCTTCCTTTCCTGCCTCTTTTTTTTTTCTTTTTAATCTATTTTATTATTTCTATTGGCTTTTTAGCTATACTTCTTTCCACTGTGCGTGTGTGTGTGGTTGTTCTAGGGATTCCATTATTCACTCATGTTTTCCCAGTACTGCTTCATACTAAATGTAGAAAACTTGCAACATATAAATCCATCTGTCCCCTCTCCAATATACTATAGCGTGAAATGGATTCCATCTACATATATCTTATTAACCCCACAAGACAGTATTGTCACTTTTTTTTAAAGATTTTATTTATTTAGGGCGCCTGGGTGGCTCAGTTGGTTAAGCGACTGCCTTCGGCTCAGGTCGTGATCCTGGAGTCCCGGGATCGAGTCCCGCATCGGGCTCCCTGCTTGGCAGGGAGTCTACTTCTCTCTCTGACCCTCCTCCCTCTCATGCTCTCTGTCTCTCATTCTCTCTCTCTCTCAAATAAATAAATAAAATCTAAAAAAAAAGATTTTATTTATTTATTTGAGAGAGAGAGCGCGCACAAGCAGGGAGAGTGGCAGAGGGAGAGGGAGAAGCAGGCTCCCTGCTGAGCAGGGAGCCCAATGTGGGGCTCAATCCCAGGACCCTGGGATCATGACCTGAGCCAAAGGCAGACACTTAACGACTGAGCCACCAGGGCGCCCCGACAGTGTCGTCACTTTTAAAGAGTCTTAAAAAGAAATAAAAAATAAAAATAAAGAGTCATACATAAAATAATGAAATTAAGAGGAAAATAACAGACCCTTTACATTTACCCACTGATGGTCTTTATTCCTCTCTGAGGACCTAAGTTTCCATCTGGTATTATATCCCTTCAGCCTATAGGACTTTCTTCAGCAATTATTGTAGTGAGAATCTGCTGGTGGTGAATTTTCTTTTATCTGAGAATCCCTATTTTACTTTTATTCTTGAAGGAGGTTTTCAGTGGATATAGAATTCTTAGTTGATACCTTTTTTTTTTCCAGCCTTTAAAGAGATCCTTTTACTTTTTTTTTAAAGATTTTATTTATTTATTTGACAGAGAGAGACACAGTGAGAGAGGGAACACAAGCAGGGGGAGTGGGAGAGGGAGAAGCAGGCTTCCCGCTGAGCAGGAAGCCCAATGCGGGGCTCGATCCCAGGACCCCGGGATCATGACCTGAGCCGAAGGCAGACTCTTAACCAACTGAGCCACCCAGGCGCCCGAGATCCTTTTACTTTTATTTGCTATTTATAGTCCACTCTCTGGGGGCTTCCTTTAGCTGTTTTTATGTGTGTGTGTTAAATCCAGAGGGGTTTTTTTGTTTGTTTTTTTTCTGTGTAAAATTGCTCTGGCAGGATCTTACTCAACTATTACCAGAAGCAGATGTGTCACAACTTTATTTTCCAACTAGGCTTTTTCTTTTGAAAAAAGTGAAACCTATAGGAAAGTTGCAAGAATATTACAACAAACTCCCATATGTCCTTTACCTAGATTCACAATATAATACCTATTATTCTTTTTTTTCTGAACCATTTGAAAGCTAGTTCCAGACATCAAGCCCCTTTGCCCATAAATCCTTCATTGTGTGTTTCCTAAGAACTAGGACATTCTCTTACACAGCTAGAATTCAATTCTTAAATTCAGGAAATTTAATATTAATACTAATATTCAGTTCATATTTAATTTTTATTATCCCAATATTGTCCTTTATAGTTTATAGAGTTGTTGTTGTTGTTTTTTTCTCCAAGATTAATCTAGGATCTAGGATCATGCATTGCGTTTAGTTGTTATGTCTGTGGTCGAATCTCGAACAGTTTCTCAGCCTTTGTTGAACTTTTAAGAAATTGATAGTTTTGAAGATACAGACCATTTGCTCTGTAGAATGATCAGTTCTGGCTGATGCATCACTGTCAGGAAGACTCAACACATCACATCAGGAGACAGGTGATGCCCGTTTGTCCCATTTTTTGTGATGTCAACTTGGATCACTTGGTTAAGGTGGTGTCTGCCAGTGTCCCCACTGTAATGGCACTTTTTTCCCCCTTTGGGATTAAGAAAGAATTGGTGGGAAGATGTTTGGCTGGGTAAGCATCCTGTTCCCAACACACTTGCATCCCAGGATAGCATCCAATTCTGATTCCTGCCTGAGTCAATTATTACTGTGATGGTTGCCAAATAATTTTTCTACCTCTGTCATTTCCACACGTATCAGTCAGCATTCCACTGTAAAGAGGCACTTGCCCTCCCCCTCCCTTTATTGATTAACAATTCGCAAGTTCTTCTAAGTTTTTCATTCATTGTGACACTCACATTGTCCTGTATTTGACCAATGGGAGCACCTTTCAGCTAGTTCCTCTGTTCCATTGTCGGGATTCCATAGTTCTTTGGAAGTTTCTGGAACAATAGGATGTTCCAGGGTCATTCTGCACAGTCCCTGCCCAGCCCAAGAATGG